TAAAATAAAATAAAATAAAAATAATGCGTTACTTTGATTTTGATGGGCCAGTATATTATATAATCTAATATTATTTTGATTGATTATAACGGTGACAAGAGGAGGGGACTGAGAACCAGAACATATTTCCAGCATAGCTTCCCTTATCCCAAACCGCCACATTCCGGCCTGTAGAGTAAGCTCCCCTGCATGTTGCTATCCGGTCAGTGACTTAGCAACGGTCTCTGTTTATGTGTCAGCGGTGGCCATAGCTAGTGCAGAGCCAGTTGCAAGCGGGAGCAGACAGCCGAATTCCATTTTTGTTCCAGGATAACAAACATCTTTCACAAGTCGCCAATATGTCGGACATCGGATCAGAAGAGATGGAGGAGGAGCAGGGGCCGTACTTAGGCGTAAGTAAACGATCTAGATCTAGATTCTAGATCTAGTAAAGTCGGTAAATAAAGTAGTCGGCGAGTTGTAAGTCTGTCTGAAGACTTAGACTAGACTTAGACCTAGATTTAGATCTAGTCTTAGTCTTAGACGTAGCTCCTGTTCCAGCACTGGGCACGAGACGTGTTCTGAATCATTTTCAAAATTTCAATTCAGAACTTTGCCAAAGTGCTGTTATGTTTGCTATCGTTGTTTGGGCTTGGGCCTATGTTTTGTTGAGTCATTTTTTTAATGGTCAGTCTAGCGTGTGCCATCATATTAAGAATAAATACGGCTAGCCCAGCTGTCTAGCCGTACTAGTACCGCTAGCCAACTCTAGCCCTACTTAAGTACAGCTAGACTGCCAGTCTAGCCATCATTAAGTACGGCTAGCCTACTTCCTATATAGATTTCTAGATCTTGGCCTAATTAGGAATAATGAACGCTGCGCTAATTTTTGGGGTGTACCCACATCACTTTATTATTCTGTCTGGGCTCATATCCTTTGGCAGAATTCTACTCAAAGAGATGGTAACTATATATAAAATAAAAAAGGAAGATGGGATTGAGGCCGTGCTTTTATTCCTAAAAATTCTGTTCCCAGGCACAGTGTCAATTCCAGTTTTTCAAATTTAAGTTTTGTTTTTTTGACTACTGCTGTTCCTGCAAAACAACAAATGATTGTTGAGTGAACGAAGTCACGCCGGACAAATGTGGCTGACCGAGAGCAGAAATAGAGTGACCGATAGAGTGACCACAGCCTGAGGTGAGTTGGTCACACGTCTAGACGGGACAACAGTCAACAGATGGGTTAAAAGCTGAAATCTTCAGTTCATTGTTCCTTTCCATTTCCATCAAATCTTTATCTCTCACAAGAACTTCCTTTATCTCTCACAAGAACTTCCTTTATTTCTCACAAGAACTTCCTTTATCTCCCACAAGAACTTCCTTTATCTCTCACAAGAACTTCCTTTATTTCTCACAAGAACTTCCTTTATCTCCCACAAGAACTTCCTTTATCTCTCACAAGAACTTCCTTTATTTCTCAC